AAAAAGAGAAAGAAGTGAACAATAGAAGAGGGAAGGAGGGCCTTCATTACCATCAAGAAAGAAGAGCCACTAGCTGAGTGCATTCTTTGGACTTGGGTCCCTCCTCTGAGGACCTCATAGACCCAGGGAAAACTGGTACCAAGACATGCTGAGATCTCCAAGTAATGTGGGGCCCACTGATGATGGAGAAAGGAGACATGGACTTTCCCCCAAAGCTGACAGAGAGAGAAAACCATCCTCTGGAGCTCATACTCTGTATCTGTACTTCTAGCCTCTTAATCTGGGAGAGAATACGTTTCTGTTTGTTAGTCATTCACTTGTGATTTTTCTAGTTATAATTATGTTATAACTAAGATAATTGCTTTCTTTCTAATTTCATTTATTCTGTTTCTTGTGGGTTTTTTTTTTTTTTCTTTCTAGTTGACTTTCTTCTCAGTGTCAAAGGGATGCATGAATAAATAAAACTTATCTTACCTTAAAATCCTGCTAAATTTTAGGAGATGAAAGTAGCAGTTTAGGCATAGGAGATAAAAAGGGGAAGAGTTTACAGAACTTGGTACACTGAGGTCAGAGATCATGGTGCAGCACAAGCAGAGATGGAGACAGGGCCAGCATGCCACTCAGTATAATACACATGCAGGACACACTGAGTTCTAGGTAATTCACTCTGTTGAACAGAACAGAGGATGTGAACTATGTTTCATCTAGATTTCATCAGATATAGTGAGATAAGATAACTTGTGCATGTACTTGGAAAATTCCCTAAATCAATTTACTAAATAAGATATTACTCTAATATAAAGAGATCTAATTTTTGTTGCTTGATGATAGCTTAGAGCTATCTAACACTTTATGTGAAATATAAGTCGTGGTGTGGCATTGTAGGATGAGCACTGAACTCCTAACTGTAAACTCTTTGGTTCAAATCCACCAGCTGCTCCTTGGAAACTCTATGCAGGGTTGTTAGGAGTCAGAACTGACTAGAAGGTGCTTAACAACAACAGCAACAACATATACATGTATTTGTGTATTCGTCTTTTTAATAGGACTCCTTTGGTTTAAATTTGCCTTATTACAAAGAGTAGTTAAAAATGCCACTTGTAAAAGCAAGCCTTCTACCTTCATCCTCTCCCCCCTCTTCTTCTCTTTCTTCACTCTCACAGTAATTTTTATTGTCTTGTAGACATATGGTTAAGAGATAATAAGAAGTGGAAATTATATATACAAAAGCATAATGTTACAAAAGTTAATTTTTACTGCCAGCTATTTGGAAATTACAATAACATTTCCCCATTGAAACAGAGGTATTGGTGGCTAGGTTCTCAAGCCAACCCACAAAAGCTTATTTAGTCTGTATTGTCTGTGTGGCACAGCATTATGCTAATTGTGTTGTACAACTCAAGTCCCATTTATTTTAACTTTCCCAGGGACAAATGTTTTTCAAGTTTAAGACTGGCTTCCAGGAACACATTTCCCCCATTCTTTCTTTGAAGGCATGGTAGCTGCCCTGTCTCTAACTCTTGCCCACTTCCTCCTCTTCCTACTCTGTGTCCTTCCAATCATTGCTATAACTGACATGTACTGGTCCTACATCAACCAGGGCATTGCCTCATCTGATAACTGGAGTGTGTATTCTCAGTTTGGAGTCATGGGTCATAGCTCCAGGAGCATGAGACAGAGACATTCAGGGCACTGAGAACCGAAGGGACCTACCTCAGAGGTTGAAAGAAGGCATGAGAGACAGGAATACCATGAATTAGATGGGAAGAGGTTCTGGGACTGTGTCGAATAGAGGCTCCTGTGTGGATCCTGTATTTGAGGAATCAGAGGGACAGTCTGCTGCCTCCTATATAGGATAGCCATTGCTTGGCCAGGGCCTTTGGGTCATGCCCATTCAGCTTGCTGTGGCTCAGGAGTGGAATCACATATGGCTCCTGTCACTTCCTGTTAGATGGAATGGTGGCTGCCGGTTCCAAGATTGACATTAATAGAGTGTTTCTCAAACATGGGACTTTCCTAATTTTATCTCTGGGTACTCCCTTCCTCATGAGCAATCTAGCACTTGACCACCCTAATTATAAGCCAACAGAGTGATATTGGGAAGATGGAGATCTAGGGAATACTGCAGTTAAATAATTTTCCTAGTAGCCAATATAAAAGGGAAGAGTATTGGGCACTTAAAAATATCATACGTATATTAATGACAGCAACATTATGTAGTATATATATGATCTTTCTAATGCATATATAAAATAATGTATCTGTAAGATACATTATTTTATATATAATGTATATGTAAGACCAAAATATGACCTTGAGTATAACCCACTTGAATTTAGAAATCATCTGAAGAACAGATTTGATACATAAAACACTAAAGACTGAGGACCAGAAGAGTTGTGGGGTGACATCAAGAACATCATACAGTAAGAAAGCAAAAAGTCATTAATAAGACAACAAAGAAGGAAAAGGTCAAAATGGATGTCAGAAGAGACACTGAAATTTGCTCTCCAGTGTAGAGATGCTAAAGCAAATGGAAGAAATGAGGAGGTAAAAGAGCTGAACAGAAAATTTCAAATATCAGCTCGAGAAGATAAAGCCAAATATTACAGTACAATGTGCAAATATCTGGAGTTAGAAAACCAAAAAGGAAGAACACGCTTAACATTTCTCAAGCTTGGGGACTGAAGAAAAAGATTCAAACCTTGACTTTGGTTATTGAAGGATTCTCTGGACAAATTATTGAATAATGCAGAAAGCACCAAAAGAAGATGGAAAGAATACACAGAGTCACTGTACCAAAAGGAAATGGTTGATGTTCAGCCGTTTCAAGAGGTAGCATATGATCAAGAGCCGGTGATACTAAAGGAAGAAGTCCAAGGTGCATTGAAGGAATTGGCAAGGAACAAGGCACCAGGAATTGATGGAATAAAAATCGAAATATTTTAAGAAAGTGAGGAAGCACTGTAGGCATGCACTCATCTCTGCCAAGAAATTTGGAAGACAACTATCTGGCCAACTGGAAGAGATCCATATTTGTACCCATTCCAAAGAGAGGTGACCCAATGGAATGTGGAAATCACCCGACAATCTCTTTGATATCCCATGTGAATAAAGTTTTACTAAAGGTAATACAGAAGCGGCTGCAAGCATACATGGACAGAGAACGTCCAGAGATTCAAGCTGGATTCAGAAGAGGTCGTGGAATGAGGGACATTCATTGCTGATATCCAGTGGATCTTGGCTGAGAGCAGAGAATACCAGAATGATGTTTACTTGTGCTTTTTTTTTTTTTTTTTTTTTTAATCTACACAAAGTCTTTCAATTGTGTGGATCATGACAAGCTATGGACAACACTGCAAAGTATGAGTATTAATTGTGCTCATGAGGAATCTGTACATGGACCAAGAGGTGGTTGTTTGAACAGAACATGGGAACACTGAATGTTTAAAATTAAGAAAGATGTGCAACAGGGTTGTATTCTGTCACCATACTTATTCAACCTGAATGCTTTGCAAATAATCCTAGAAGCTGGGTTATATGAAGAAAAACATGGTATCAGGATTGGAGGAAGATTCATTAACAACCTGCAATATGCAGGTGATACAACCTTGCTTGCTGTAAGTGAAGAATACTTAAAATACTTATTGAAGGAGATCACAGACCACAGCCTTCGGTATGGGTTGCATGTCAATGTAAAGAAAACAAAAATCCTCACCACTGGACCAATAGGCAACATTCTTATCAGTGGAGAAAAATTGAAGTTGTCAAGGACTTCATTTTTCTTGGATCAACCATCAACACTCATGGAAGTAGCAGTCAAGAAATTAAATGATGTATTGCATTTGGCAAATCTGCTGAACAAGACCTTTTTAAAATGTTGAAGAGCAAAGATGTCAGCTTGAGGACTAAGGTGAGCCTGACCCAAGCCATGGTATTTTCAATAACCTCATATGTATGCGAAAACTGGACAGTGAATAAGGAAGACCGTAGAAGAATTGATGCTTTTGAGTTATGGTGTTTGAGGAGAATATTGAAAGTGTCATGGGCTGCCAACAGAACGAACAGATCTATGTTGGAAGAGGTGCAGCCAGAGTGTTCCTTGATGGCCAGGATGGACAAACTTGGTCTCTCATACTTCAGACATATTGTCAGGAGGGACCAGTAACCAGAGAAGGATATCTTGTTTGGTAAGGTGGAGGGTCAGAGAAAAAGAGGAAGACCCCCAGCGAGATGGATTGGCAAAGTGGCAGCATCGATGGACTCAAGTGTGGCAAGAACAGTGAGGTTGGCCCAGGACCGGGCAGTGTTTTCATTCTGTTATGCATAGGGTTGCTGTGAGTTGGTACTGACTCAATGGCACCTAAAAACAACAACAACTACAACAAGATATAAAGTGTCTTTCTAATGAAATGCAATTTTTTTAAAAAGTTTTTATTATGAATTATGTGATAGTTTACATGGGAGAACACCAGCTTTACATTTATCGTATCATATTTTGTTTCATTACAATAATTACAATCCCCTGCATGCATCATCAAACAACCAAAGGGTACATCCTGCAATTCTGCCCCCACTCCCATCCAGCTATCAGCACACAGCCCTTCTCCCTCCTTGTGTCCAATGTTCCCAGTTGCTCCATCTCTCCACTTCATCATCTCTGCCTCCATTTGTGATGTCACTGCTTCTCTGGGTAGAGTCCTGCACTCTGCTCTTCTCACTTGATGGTCCCAGGGATCTCATCTCCTGGACTGAAAAAGCAACCATTTCCCTCCTTTTGTTATAAAACATGTACCTTTACAGTTAAATGCAATTTTAAACAAAAATGTAACTGATAGTGCTAAATGCCCTGAAAGTTGCTGCCACATTATTCTCATCTCTTAATCTTACCTCATTCAGCAGTTGCTGAGCTCTAATAGCCAAACTAGTGAGAAAATGAAATGTACTTACCTCATTTTCAGTAATCCTATTCATGTGTACAATTTGAACCATTTCCACAGAGAAAAGGCCAACCTTGCTGTTACCCTCTGCAATGACAAGGAGGAAATCATGGCCCAGGCCACCTTCATGGACTATCCCAACTGGAACATTGCCAGGCAGGATAACTGGGTGTCAGTGTTCCAGGAGCTTGACAGTGAGATCGCATGCACGGTAAGGAGGAACAATCGATACTTGTTTGAACCTTCTTAGAATACTAGAAGCAGAATATTGATTAGAATAATAATTAGGACTATTTAGTTTATATTATGGACTTCTGGTGTGGTGCTGTGGATCAGCACTGGACTGTGAATCACAAGGTCAACAGTTCAAACCCAACAGCTGCTCCTCGGAAATACTATACAGGGTCGCTATGAGTCAGATTTGACTGGATGGCATATAACAGCAACAACAATTTTTATGATAGTAAAGAGTTATTTTTATGAAGGGAAGTTCTATGTTTGCATATTATCTTTTGATAGATCTTGGACTGTCGGTTTCAAAACTTATGACAGAAAGTAGGTGACACCATGGCAGTTAAAAATGAAGTCAGTGGTGGGGAGGCAAGATGGGACTGACAGCAGAAGGGCAGAAGAGAAAGGACAGGGTAGGCAATAGCTAAGGCAGCCAGTGCTGACAAGGCCCCAGTTGTGCTGGATCTGCTGAGGACTGGGGAGCCAGCAGTTACTGAAAGTATCAGAATGTGTGCTTCCTAGGCTTCCACATTGTTTCCATGCTTCCGATTCCCAAGTGGTTGATATCCTAGGACACTAGTCATCTACACATTTGCGCTCTTAATAGCAATAACAGCTCCTCAGATTTAGGTCATATAATTTTCAAAATACTCTTTTGAACTCTGGCTCATTGGATCACTTCTAACTCCAGCCACATGACAGCTTGTCAGTTGATGGGAATCAAGGTTAGTGGACACCACTCATTTGTCAGTTTGTATGAAGTATGAATCTAGGTAAGTTAGAAGTTGTCAAAAATGAAATGAAACTCATTTAATGCATAGGATCAATTTCCTATGCATTAGTGAGCTGAAAAGGAGCCCTGGTAGCGTAGTGGATTGTGAGCTGATTGCTAACTCCAAGGTCAGCAGTGTGAATCTACTAGTCGCTCCTCTGGAGAAAGATGAGGCTTTCTGCTCCCGTAAAGATTTACAGGCTTACAAACCCTGTACAAAGTGTTTATGAGTCGATGCTACACAACCACCACCACCACCAGTCAGTGGCCATTTTGAATCAGGCAGTCATATGGTTATTATATGCTGGTAACAACAAATTCAAGAGGAATGATGTAGCATTCATCATCAAAAAGAGCATTTCAAGGCCTGTCTTGAAGTACAATGCTGTCTGTGATAGAATAATATCTATATGCTTATAAGGAAGACCAGTTAATGCCACTATTATTCAAATTTATGCACCAATTAAAGCCAGTGATGGCAGAACTGAAGAATTCTACCAACTTACTCAGTGTGAAATTAATCAAACATGTAATCAAGATGTATTGATGATTATTAGTGATTGGACATGTTTAGTGTTTATCTGTGGCCTTAATACTTAATTGAGTATGTGTTTTGGTATTTTTTATGCTTTCTGATTGCTTCCAGGAAGATGTGATTAGGATGTGGGCTTCCCTTTTCACTCTTCTTATTGCTTAACTCAGAGTAACTTTCACAGATGTCTGTTTCCCTGGTATATGGCAGTTGGTATTGGTTCTTGCCTGGGTTTTGGTGTTTTATAGAGTGTGATTGTAGCTTGACTATATGGCAGCAGTTTCTGTCTCTTCTTGTGTAATATAGGGAGACAAAGAGCCTTCCAAAAACAGATGGTGGGCATATAACAGCAAAACAACACCAGCGGAAAAAATAAAATGAGAGAAAGTAAAAAAAAAAAAAAGACTAAAAAACAGCAACAACAAAAACTAGACTGAATACTGCAGTCTCTAATCACAGAAAAGGGAGAGGAGGGAGAGAAGAAAAAGAAGGAAAAAAAATCTGTAGCCTAATATGAGTATGACTTTAATGTCCTCTTTTCAGCTTCCTGCCTTTAAAGCTGCCCAAGAGATTCCAAGATGTCAGTGTTGGTTGTAATGTTACACCTCAGGCTTCGATCCTTCCTTCAGTCTGTTTTACTTTTAAACTCTCTTTCTCTCCCTACATCCCTGTCCTGCTCTTTCCCATGTTAAAAAACAGACCAAAAAACAAACAAGAAAAGTTCAGGGCCTGCTCTTGGGTGGAGTATCTGTGCGCATGCGTGGCAGAAGAACCCACCAGTGATGAGGATGGGGGGTGACCACACGCTCAGGCGCCCCCTCTAGTCACCAGAATGGTGGCGGGCAAACAGTGGGTGTGCCAATGACCAGATACCAAAAAAAAAACAAACAACAAAAGAAAGAAAATCAGAACAAAGCAAAACTGACAAAGTATATTGTCCACCTTTGTCCCAAGGTTCTCGTGGTTTCTTTTCCGTGGTGTTTCTACTCCCCCCGTTTGGTCTCGCCCAAGATGTTGGCTCTGGGCCTTCTAGCCCAGCCCGGCAGATTAAAAAATACGCGGTTTTTTACTTCATCTCCAATTTCCACAAGCTATAAACCTTTAAACTTTTAAAATATTCCTATCTCTGTGGTTCTGAGTTTTGGAGCTCTGCCCTGGATCTGCTTTGCCTGGTATTCTGTGATATTGCTAACAGTGAACTTTACTGCACCTCCACCCTAGCTGCCATCCTAATTATTAGTGATTGGAATACAAAGGTTGGAAACAAAGAGGAAGAATCAGTAGTTGGAAAATACAGTCTAGGTGATAGAAATGTTGCCGGAGATCACATGATAGAGTTTTGCAAAACAAGTGACTTTTTCTTTGCAAATACTTAAAAAAAAACAATATAAAAGGTGATTATACACATAGACCTCACCAAATGGAAGTCACAGGAATCAAATTGACTACACCTGTGGGAAGAGAAAGTAGAAAAGCTCAGTATCATCAGTCAAAACAAGATCAGCTATTAACTGAACAAACCATTAATTGCTCTTATGCCAGTTCAGACTGAAGCTGAAGAAAATTAAAACAAGTCTATGAGAGCCAAAATATGATCTTTAACATATCCCATCAGAATTTAGAGACCATTTAAACTTGATGCATTAAATACCTAAGACCAGAAGTCTTGTGGGATGACATCAAGAACATCGTACAGGAAGATAGCAAAAGGTGATTAAGAAGACAAGAGAGAAGGAAAAAACCAAAATGGATGCCAGAAGAGATGAGGAGGTGAAAAAGCTGCACAGAAATTTTCAAAGGACAGCTTGAGAAGACAAAGTCAAGTATAATAATAAAATGTGCAAAGACTTGGAGTTGGAAAATCAAAAGGGAAGAACATGCTCAGCATATCTCAAGCTGAAAGAACTGAAGAAAAAAAATTCAAGCCTCAATTTGCAATATTGAAAGATTTCCTATGCAAAATATCAAATGATGCATCAAAAGAAGATGGAAGGATATACAAAGAGTTACTGTACAAAAAAGAAATGGTTGGTATTCAGCCATCTCAAGATGTAGCATATGATCAAGAACCGATGGTACTGAAGGAAGCTTATATGAAGGTGTTGATAAAAAACAGGGATCCAGGAATTTATGTAATACATAAAAACAGGGATCCAGGAATTTATGTAATACATAAAAACAGGGATCCAGGAATTTATGTAAT